CCTGCTGAATTTTCAATCTCTTACTCGAAATTTTTTTTTTTTTTTATTATTTAATAAAATTATTCATTGCTTTTTAGAAATAATTTAAACGTTTTATATTAGAAAATTTGCAATACTATATTTTATTTTACAATTAACGTTTATCTTTGAAATGTTCCACAAAACCAAACTCAATTTTCTCCATAGGCATCCTTATTTGGTTTTCAAGAGATTTTAAAAAACCTAACCCTAGCGAATACCAAGAGTTAAGTGTATTGCGTAATTTGAGTAAAGTCTTTTGAATTGGTAGTTTAATTAAATCCATCAACAAATTATCACCGTCAGTAAAATATTACTGAACTTTTTGTAGCCTGATTTAACAGATCTGCAATGATTTATTTGAACGTTAGCTAAGAAAAAATGCCACAGTATTCATAAGAAAAATGTTTTCTTTATGAAAAAGATTTATTGAAAATTACACATATGTAATATTTTTATACGCTCAATCTGTTATTGAATGTTTTCTTTTTGTAAATACAGTACATTTCTGAACTGAGCGTAGTCACGATTCCATGTGCCAGAGCCGCACTAGTAGAATTTATAAATTTTATGAATTTTTAGACAGTACGACACAGTTAACTTTAGTTGGTTCTCAACTTATCTGTGGCTTTCCATTCGTAGAAACCTGTCAAATACAGTACATAATACAAGTATTTTCTAATACAGTATATCCAACGCGATATTTTCCATAACGATTTCTTTGCAACGTAGCGGGAATAATTCACAACCAATTATCTATGATAAAGTATTGTTTTAAAGCTATCGACAAAAAATTCCAAGAACATCGCACAGTACGAGGTATACGCTAGCTGAACGTCACGACACTAGCGGCATCTCGTGATAAAAACTAGAACTACGGGCTATGGAATCGTTCTGTAATTAGACGCCAGTGTAACAATACATGTGTGCTCTGGGTACCGCAAGCTTTCGATACAATTCGGCCGTGTTAAATATTCGAATAACGTCATGCGCGCGTACTTGTTTGCCGCGGAAAACCTCAACAAGAGCAAGCGATCGAGTTCCCGCAAGCATCGCGCTGACTTAAAACGGCTGCCACTAGCTGTCAATCTAAAATCAAACACAAATGATAAAAGAGTTTACACGTTAGAATAAATTATTATTGGCATATTTGTTCTCATATAAAAACTATATTGACAGTCAAAATTCTCTTAAGCATGCGGTCATGTTAAGGTGCGACTATGCAGACGCGAATTTAGAGCGAGCGATTTAGTTTTCGCAAAGGAAAACCATGCACGAACGAGAAGCGAGAAATAACGCTAGCGAGAGCGAATTTCTGATTCTCGCACATATCTGACAGGTTTTGATATTTATCGCGTCTCGCCTCTTCTCGCTACATATTGTCGCTCGCTCGAATTTTTCGAGCGAGCGACTATATGCTCGCGTCTGCATAGTCGCACCCTTAAGCAAGCCCAGAAAATTCGCCCCTGCCTTTCAAGAATGTTTTTAAAAGTAATCATAAAAGCTCTTTTTTTTAAAGTTTACTCTTAATTAATTAGTACTTAAACCGATTTTTTAAACGTATTTTAAGAAATCTGTAACAAATTTTTATTATTTTTTCAGAATTCCAAGTGGTTAGACCGAGATTACTCTTCAGTAACTTGTACACGATTTTTCATATGATCGCATTAGTGATGAGCATAATTTACATGATATTTGTTGTGGAAATTCCCGATTATCCTCTCAACCCACTTCACCAGCATCGCGACGAGAATCTCGAAGAAATTATGACGTTTTTGGACGAAACCCGTGACAAATTCTCTTCTTCCAACGAACTAAATTCTTTCTTCAAACAAATTAACCATTAATATATTGTTATAATTTTAATTATAAAACTAACATTATTATTTATTAAATTGTTATAAATTAAAAATATGATTATTAATGTAACCAATCTTCTAAATTTAGCCATTTTGCTAAAAATCATATAAACATTAGTGCCATAAATTATTTTATGTAATATAAAGATTATTAAATATTTTTATATAATGATTAATTTGTTAGATGTTTTTTTATGCGAGAATTTATCACCGACAGAAGAAACGAAAATTATTGTTTAAAATTAAATTGTTGAAATTCAAATTTGAAAATATAGTAATGAAGGAACGACACCCACAAATCTTCATTGTACAGTTATTTTAAGGATTAAATGTATATAATACTTTGGTAACCCGTTAAACCAAAACTTACGACTACCAAACACTGAGTGGTCGTGGGTTCGCATGTGATCGACCATAGGGTCACATACCATTATGCCATATGGTCACACGCATGTGACCATATGGTTGTATTTCATGTCTGACACATAAATAGTTCCCATAGAAAGTCTTTCAGGAAGGCATCCCCTTGGCAGCTTGCCTATGTTCCATTGCCTTATTCCATAAAGCCAAGCTTAAACCAAATAAACTTGTTACATAAAGACAGGCCTGAACAACAGTTAGGTTAGACCAACGTAAGTCATTCGTGTTATCTGACAGATAAGAGAATCTGAATCGGATCTCACGACTTTATTGAAGAAGTGCGGCCATCTTGCCGGCATTTCTTAATTATCTTTCAAATTTGGAAAGCGTTATTATAAAAAATTAATAAAGTATAGTAAATGTTTCGATATTAACTGAACTTCAAATTTCAAGTTAAAATAAATATTCAGAATCGTCATCTTTAGCGCGCTGCTTAGGGGAATCCGGGATGGAATTCGGACGGGCAACCCCGGGAATCTTTTATATGAGGTCTATTTCGGATATTTTTCTTCCCGTCCCAATCAGCAGGTCACCCCCATTGTAGGTCTGCCGACGGGAATCAACCAACACAGTTAAAAAAAGGCCTTTTAGTGCCCCAGAACGAAAAAAGATTTCGTCTTTTAATTAATATTCTTTCCAACCATGTATTAAAAAATTATTTATCTATTTATAGAAATAATTATAAAATTAATTAAATTCCTCGAGAGACTTTTCTTTAAAGCTATTCATATACATAATTGCTAAATAATTATCATCATAACATTTAATAGATTTGTTGTTATATTAAAACAGCAATTAAGAAAGACCAAAAAAACAAAACACAAATATTTTTATTTTATATACATAAATATTCAAAAATATATTTAAATAAATAATAATATATGTTTATTCGAATAAAACTAAATTTACTTTGGCGTACATTTATAATTTATCTGCCAAATTCTCCATTTTGGGCTATTACTCTACGATTTCCAGGGGGCGTTACTTAGTAATCCGTCTTTTATTCTAATAATGTAGTTAAATGTCCGATCCATTGTCAAATAGATTAGTAAGCAATAATTATGTGAAATGATATAGGATATACAAAACAACTGCATTTATAAAAAGTAAAGCGAAAGAGCGCAAAGAGAATAGCTTTTAATACTTCGTATAAAGTAGAATCGAATTAAAAGATTTCATTGGAGTTAAACATGGCCTTCACACAGCATAGTGTAAACTGTAGTCTGGATGACATAGACTTGACAAGTCTCAAGGTAATATATTCGATAGGCGTTAATCAATGAGAAAACTATAATGAATTTAATAAAAACCTGATCTATCTTTTAATACGGGAAACTGTCAATGATGTTTTTATTAAATAATTAATAAAAATGATGCTTTGTTAATCTTTAATTCTATTGATGTACAATCTTTAATGATTTGAATTTCTTGAGTTTTTTTTGTTAATGGCTCTCCCTCTCTCTCTTTCTCTGCCTCATTGCTAGCCTGGAATGTAAACTCTTATGACTCATCTTTGGTTATATTTACAGGAAAAATAAGTGAGAATTTAAAATAATTTCATCAATATATTTTCAATTTATATAACAATATTCTAAAATGGAAAATTTTTCTTTTATAATACTTCAAAATGTTGGGCTACAATTTTCAGAGATTGTAGGCATAAATTCCATCTTTAATCTCGAACGGAATTAGGTAAACGAAAGTCGAGACCGGATGTGGAAGGCCCCAATTAACTGTATACGAACTTACAGTTTGGATCTGAAGTTGCATTATTTGATTACAAAATTTGGTCAAATTTTTCTCTAGAACAGAGTTAGATGGATGACTGACATGACTCTGTTGTTAATGGGAAAAGTATGATGTAAGGGGGTGAGATGCTACTAAAATTGAGAACGTGATGGAAAACTGCAGCCCAGCATTATGACAGTGTCGTCCTAAATAATTGCTCGTTTGGTAAATTGGGTTTTAATACGGCTGCGTAATTGAACCAGTTGCGCGGTCAGTTTCGAATGAATAAGGCTGTCATTTGTTTTCTTATCTGGCTGCGTTAAAACCACTTTACTGGGAATGTGCCTGTTGTTTGGAAAAACTGACATGCAGTTTAGTTGTTTGAATTACCCATTATGAGACTAATCGTCCAATCTGACAACTTGACTCCAAATGTGTTTGGTACTTCTATGCAAGCATATGAAAAGAAATATGTGTGATTCTAATTTGGCTAACATAAAAGTGGACATTACTTGAAGATGGCAGAAATGAAACCAAATGAGGAAAAATGCTGATGGTTGGCAGCTCTGACAATATTTAAATATTCCATTATCCTTGCATTTTATGCACTTATCTAAGAATTTTAATAGTATTTGTGAAATATTTTTTAAACAATTTGCAAAGTCTTATTTTTTTTTTTCTGTATATGTTTAAATGTATAATAAATAGATAAAGCTGTAATATAATAATAAATAATGGGATATCTTGATGCAGAACAGATATATTAAAATTTATTATTTTTTACTAGGATTTAGTCATTGTTGAATATGTGAGAAGAGAAATGAATAATGACTTTTATTTTCTTATTTCTAACAAACATTAAAAAATGTCTAAAGAATATCAAGTCAGAAATGCATTTATTTAAACATTTTTGAATGTTTGTTGTAAATAATAAGTGGAAGTATGTCTACTATAATATTTAAGATTGGTGAGCATAGAATTGGATTGTCTATTAAGATATTGTATACAAAGAACAGTTGATTTCATTTACTATTTTTATAGTTCTGATCAATTATAAACTAATAATGTATTAATATTACTTAATAAATACTTTGTTAAAATTAAAAAAAGGATTTGTCAATTAACTATATCTTTGTATTTAAGTATCTAAGTTATTTAAATCTAAATTATTTGAAAATTATTTTACTGATTTGGATAGAGGAGGAAAATGTTTTTCACTGGTGCAAAAGTAGTAATGGATAAAATGTAATATAATTGGTTACTAATTGTAAAAACAATATATTTTTATAAAAAGCTTTACAAACAATTATTTTATGACAATCACAACAATCCTCTGACCTTCCTTTGTAGACTATGTTATTTGTAGATTGATAATATAACTGTTTAACTGGATATGCATTCTTATATTTTACAAGTATTAAAATAACACATATTCAGTAGGTCATTTCAAATAGCTTAAACATGAAGGTTATTAAAAAAATTGTGATAATTTTGTTTTAAAATAACACATTGTTACCTTTTTTTTTTTAAATAATTTTTAGATTAAATATTTTAGGAAATTTTTTTTTGTGAAGAACAGCTTGCAATTGACTTTTAGCATGTTTTGCTACACAAATTTTAATATAAGAACATTTAGTTGTACCTGTTGTGTTTATTTAAAATACTCAATGGGATTAAAAAGTATACAGCTTTCATTTAGCATGCTATCTACTGGGATTTCCTGTATGAAGGTTGACATATGTTACTACTCATGATGCTTTTTTGTATTGATTCATTCATCTCCTCACAGCCCTCCATCAATTAACAATATGGATAGACTATGCTGATGAATAAAACAAGATGAAACAATACAAACTTGTTGTTTAGACTAATTATTGATTCATATGATTTTATTAAATAATTGGAATATCAATAATTTATAATTATTCTAATATCTTTAACACATTTAATAATTAGATAATGTTTATAAAGGCAACATGCTAAGTGTATTACTAATAGTGTATATATATACATATACACTATAATCTGCAATATGCAATGAAGTGTTGCTATATTAACTGTAGAAACTTATCACCACCATTTGACCTACACCATCATCAAACACAATATAATATATATATATATATATAAAACCTCAGTATATTATAAAAATTAAACGTTTGAGCTTAAAGTAAAATAATTTTGTGAACTATAATACATTATTGTTTAATTTTAACACCATATTCTGTGTTATCTATATATTATGCTATGTACAGGAAATAATAAATTGTATACTAATGGATCTGTAATGAAAGATATAAGTGCATCTTATTGTATAACATTGTAAAATGTTGCAGATAATTTTTAAATTTCATAAATTCACAAGTTTTTACTCTTAAATATTGAAGAACTTGGAAAAGTGAATTTTAACATCTTTCAAGTTTACAAATATTTTTTTTGTTAAGATATTGAAGTTAGAATTGAAACTAATAAAAATCTGAATTTGATAGATGGATAAGAACATTTGAAACAAACTAAAATAATAATTTAATATTTTTAATGTTGTTAAAGGAATATGTGGTTTGATGTAAATAATTTTCCAATTCAAGAACTGCCTGATTTTTGTATACAAATAATAATTCATACATTTATTATTCAATCTGTTTAAATTATTATAACTGTATTTAAGGTAAATAGTTATAAATTATATGTCTTCAATTAAACTGAGTCTATCAGTGACCATATGGATGAAACTACTAAACACTGGTGAACAGTGTGGTGTTTTTGGGTTTTTTTCATGTCTAACACCTAAATAGGAGATGGTTTTCTATAGAAAGTCTTTCCAGGAGTCACACCTTTTGGCAGATTGCCCAAATGTTGCATTGCTCTTTTCATCAAACCAATCTAATTCATTTTGAAGTTACATTTACTAACATATACTTTTAAAAGTGTATGTTAGATCTTTATAGAACTGCATCAATATATATACAGATTTATAAATACATACGTTATTTTTTTTGTAATCAGAATTCTGATGGCATTGATGACTATTGATCCTTTTTGCAATATGTTATGTGAATAGGATATATATTTTTAAAAATTAGTATTAATGGAAATGTTATGAAAAAATATATTAAATAAGCTACATTAAATTTTGTAATTTCTTAATATTATAATATACATTTTGTCATTAATATTTGTTTGAGTCATTTATTTTCATTTTATAGATGATGATAGTATATGGTTTTCTCTTCTAATAACAGAAATTTGAGTGGTATAACAAATTTTAAACTAGCATTTTAGTTGCTTCATAATTAGAAATAGAATAATGTAAGTAGCATGTTATGAAAATTTTGATGGAAGAGTAAAACTGCTGAAACCATGAGTTAAGGTATTGTTATTTCTGTGTTTAAATAGAGCAATGTTGATCTGTTCAAATAAATTATTGAAAAATATGAGTATAAACATCTAAAAGCCCGATGTATTAATACGACATCAAACAATCACCATAATTAATTGGGCTATTTTTTGGTAAAGTTAATAATTAAAATTAAATTACAATTAATTAATTTCTAATTATTAATTGTAGCAAAAAATATCCCAATTAATTATGGCAATTGTTTAATGTAGAAAAATGTGTGTTTTTAATAAGAGTTAATATAGTTTTTATGTATTTTACTTTTTTAACTATGTAATAGTTAAAATTTGTTTTATGCATACTTGTTGATTACTTTTATATATTTGTTTTTAGGGGATGGGAGGATATCATATGTCTTTCGTGACTTTTCCTGTCTTTTGTAATAATAAATAATTTTTATAATACGGAAAATGATGTAATAGTGCCTTTGTAAATAGCGATTATAACATTTGTCTTCATGACCTATGAATACAAATGCTATAATGTTGTTTACAAAAGCTTTGTTTAAAATATATTTTGTGTGTACTTTCTATAAATTATATATGCATTATATATACNTCTGTATTATTTTTTAGTTATTTTGTATTAATTTATCAATAATTTTGTAAAGAAACCATCATCTTAACAGTTAATTCTTACAGAAAAATAAAACAAGTATTTAATGGTAAAAATAGAGAAGTTAAATCGATTAAATTTTAAACATTTTTGAAGTAGAATAACACTCCAGCTTTACAACTTTACAAAATTGAATAAAAGAGTCTGAAAATGTTAGTCTCCATGGCAACAAGTATGCAGAAATGTCCATAAAGAAAATTTATTAGTCATCTTTTGTCATTACATCATCATCCTAGACTTTTTGTTGGCATTTGGAGTTATTTTGAATTTTTTCCTATTCCTCTTTTTAAATAACTTTTTATTGTCATTTCATTCTCTTTTATTTTCCTTTTACTGTTTTATATCAAATCATCATTCTCTTTCTCTGTCTTTCCCTGCAATCATTCAACCATTTTATCATTCTGTATATTCTGTTTGTTTTGTCATTTTTTGAAAGTCTATAAGACATTTCTTAAAAATATCTCAGTAATTCTCATTGTCATTCTATTATTTATATCAGATTATAGATGACAA